GGGGGGGGGGGGGGGGGGGGGGGGGGAGTTTCCCACCCTGAAAAAGTTATTTCTACATTTCTGTATTTTCAGTCACTCTCCCCTTTCAGAGAAGTTTAACCCTGCAGGATCATATCATTAGTCACCATCACTCCCTCTCAGACCTGAGCAGGGACTAAGAAGGAGACTCTGAAGTTGGACCAAACTGAGAATCAGCAAGAGCTGAAGGACTGGCTGTGGGAAAGCAAGCCCAAGCGTCAGACTGAACAGGCAGCGTACTCTGAGGGAGGCAGCAACAGGACACTAAACAACACGTGTCAGACTTTTGGCAAGTCTCTACTGGTTACCCAGCAGGCCTACAGGACTGCTAGAGGAAGAAGGCCGTTGGCCAGCTACTGCTGGAAGGGCACCTGCAGTGGCTATGGCAGAAGCGGAGGGACTGAATTACTACGGGAAGTTCCCAGCATCTAGAAAAGGATGAAGCCCGAGAAGAGAAAGCCTGAACCCCAGATGTGTGTGTCAATCTCAGAACTGCCACAAAGAAAAACTTTTATTTTCTTGGGCTTTGTCATTGGAGGAAAGGTTGAGAGGAGGCATTTTTGTACCATAACAAGTCCCTGAGGAGTTCAGTGTAGCTCATATATCTGGCACTGAGAGATTATTGCTAGGCTGCAACAGAGCTTCAAATGATAAATAAAATAATATTTTGAAGTCACATCAAGAAATTTGCTTTACCCTTGCAGCAAGCTTGTGGTACACAGGCATAATAACCATGCTCAATGAAAGAATCAGTCTGGTAGGGATCAAGATGAGAAGAGAATGCCAGCAAGGTTTCCTGTGGACTGGAAGCCCAGGACATTGCTGCTTATGATCTCTCCTAATTTCCAGAAAACCCGAAAAGAATTGCAGAGGGGAGAGGAGATCAATTCCCAGGGATCTTTAAGCCATGAAAAAAAATAGGGCCCCAAATCCCAAGACCAGGTACTTATATTGTTTTGGAAGGAAAAAGAGGAGGGAAGATTAATTAAACAGGGAAAGAGTGACTGAAAGAATGGGGGCAGCCAGTGTACCTGAGTTTGTAAACCGTCTTCTGAGCTGCTCCAGCGTCTCTGTCACATGGGCAATGAATACATTGGCCATGGACAGAAAATGAACTTTGGGGTCCTGAGAACAGGGATCACTTCAGGGACATTGTTCCTCTGGTTGCTGGGAAACATTCAGAAATGAATATTTTCCTTTGTAGGCTCTTCTCCCATCTGTATTATTTCTTCACGAGGTCTTATCCACAAAATTAGAACTGTTGGTTGCTATGTTTTTAAAATATAGCTTGGTCAAACTAATGCAAACTGTTTCGTAGACACTTACTGGAGCATAAAAGTGTGGCTTAAATGGTAAAAAAAGGTAGTTCTTGAATGAAAATTGAGCTGTTCCATTGCAACTGTTCTGTGCATCAGCTATGTCACTTTATCATTTGAAGTTAAACTGTCATAATTTAGCACCTGTTGTATTCAAGGGCAAATTATTGCACTTCACTTCATTTAGCGTGGGATAGGAGCAGACACAGAACAAATACAACAACTCAGTCATTGCATACTCGTGAGCAGTAAGTGCCTCTTTCTCAAAGCAGCATAATTGTTTTGTCTCCTCATAGCCATTATTAACTGAAAGGGATTTCTAACCGACAGGCTAAATGGAAATAAGCTTGGAGGAACTTAATATAAACCAGGATTAATGCAAAATAAGTGTTAGCACATAGCCTTTGGCATCCATATAAATAAATAAATTTAAAATCATACCTTAAATTAATTCAGTGCAACAAACCCATGCCTCGCTAGGCATAACAAGAGGAAACAGAAGACTGAACAAGGCTTTCAGTGAGACATGACACTAATGACAGGTGGACTAGTGAGCCTGACTACATATTCTGCTTGCGATGTGTCAACTGTTTTACCTCCTTGCCTCAGCTGATGTGGCTAACAGATTCACAGTTATGGAGCCATCAGGTTCTACTAGAAGAAAAGTAGGTCATCTGTGTGCTAAATGATTGTGTCCATTTAGTTTGCATATTCAATGGAAGTGCAATCTAAAGAAAACAATTACTGCAGACAATCCATCTCCACAGACTTCAGCATGTGAATTATACAGCCATATGCAAAACGGCATTCAACACACTTCACCTAAACTATTAAAGTGACCACTAAGAACCACTGTGTATAACTTTACAAAGAAAAGCTTTACTGATTTGTAATATGTGAATACTGTGACATTGATATAAATTGGCAAGTGCTCTTGGAACACGTTCATTTGAACATTTAAGTAGCCTTTTCCCAATTTAAGCAAATCTGATACTGGTACTACCAATATCAACTAAGCTTGTTTGTTATTCCACTTGCGTTGTGAAATACTGTGCATTCTCCTGCATTACAAGATGTGTTTAGAGCTGCTGAATAATCAACATACAACAGCATTTCTCCTTTTCTTTTTGGCCTTATAAATGAACAACTGGGTGCCTAATTCCCACATTAATCTCTTGGACAGAATCTTGTGTGTAGAACCCACAGCAGTTTTGTGAACTGAACTAACTGTCTTCTAGACTAATTTCTTGGAAATCATGACAGTAAAAGGAAGTATTAAGCCAGGTAAGTAGAGGGCTCAGCTTTCTACTTGCAAAAGTATAACTTGTCCCTATTGCTGCATATCTGGTGCCAGGAAGAAGAAGTATATTTTCCTAAGATTTAACTATTACATTAAATTAAAAGGATTTCAAAATAAAGGGCTGGAGGAAGACACTCCTATTACATGAAACCTTGTCATCAACTGTTGGCTACATCACATGACAAAGTACAAAGGCTGAAACCTACTGCAACACTTCTGATTGTGTGCCCATCATGGCATGTCCTAAACCCGGGATCACAGGTCACACAGCTGTAACATTCCATGGCTTCTTTCTGTGTCTTGGGCCTTACTGATTTGTTCATACAGATCTTAGCATCAACTTGGAGAGACTTGCTACACATGACTACTATTTACCTCAGACACATTTTACCAGGCTGATTTATACACAGCAGGAGTCCCGTCTAATTTTAACACCATACTATTCCACCAAAAGCTTAACATTGTATGTTGCGAGGAGTATTGATAACTGGGACTAGAAAATACTTTGTTTTCTGTTTCTGCGGTTGCAACAGCCCTTTAGAAAGATATAAATTTCCCTGCAACAACTAACTGCATATTCATTTTAAGGTAGATCTAGTTCCAGATTCCTGAGACAGAATCCTCTACCTGTTCACAAACCCACAAAGCCAGAGCAGCAATATAGAAAGTTTCTATTCTCAACAGAATTCAGTGAGCAGCATGATCGGTTTGGGAAAAACAAACAACCAACCAACCAAAAATCCCTTCCCAAAAACCCACACAGAAAATGTTCATCTTCTATGTACAAAACTGATGCAAACAAGTGAAACATTCTAGTTATGTTTTGTAAAACAGATATTTGGGATCAACAAAACACCAAAACATTCAGACCCTAGATTACAAAAATGCGTTTTGATCTAATTGTCAACTCCCAGTTTAGACAGTCCTTGTCGAAAATCGTGCAATTCATCTATCTTGCCATCTAGTACATCTAAAAAATTCTTTAATTCAGTTTTAAGGTTGCTTTGTCTGTGTTTGTTCTCTTCCACTTCTGCCCTGAGTGCTCTGACTTTCTCTTCAAGGTCTTTGTTCTTTTTCTCAGCAGCCTTAATAAAAAACAGAAAAAGAAAAATAACATGAATCACAGAGGAGGCAGATGAACACATTTAACAGAATAAAGCAACAATGTTGGGAAGATTTTAAAATGTTTTACTTTGACTTCCTATTACTCTAACACTAGCATCTCTGAAAGCAAGTTTGACATGTTTTGGCTATTATTTCTTTAACCTGACTAGTTCAGGGAAGAATAATGATTAAGTGGAAAAGATGCTTTGCATTAGATGTTGTCATTCAGCTGATATCTTAAAATTCAGCTGTATTTAAATCATGCACCGTGCATATTTTTCTGTCATTCCTACAGTTGCACAATTAGACTCCAATTATATACAAAATGATCTATTGTGCTTTCAATTTAGAAAATAACATTTCCAGAGTATTATCTAGGGTACCTGAGGATTTATCTATCTAACTGTCTTGAATTATACTTGGGCTTTATACTCAAGCATCTAGTCAGTAAAAACAATCTGATGTAGTCCCTCAATATAGTTTACTCTAGTAATGTTTTTTTTTTTCCTATTACTATCTTTTCTTTTTTTCATTCATCTTTTTCTTCTTCTCATTTAACAGAAATGCAAGTACACAAACCTGTTCTCACTAAGAATCATGAACAATGCTTTAAGCACGTTATAGTGACCAATGCTTTCATTACTTTCTAACCACCTATTCCAGGGGTGGGCAATTATTTCGAGTGGAGGGCCATTTACTGAGTTTTGGCACGACACCCCCTGGTTGCCATCTTGGGACCAGAAGTCCCACCCCCTAGCCCCCGACCTTTGCCACCAAAGTCCCTCCCCTTGCCCCTGGATGTACTCCTTTCAGCAAGGGGTTCTGCCATCTCGGAACCAGAAAACTATCAAATAATATTCTAAAAATCAAACATCTACAACATTCATTAATTCAATTTAAAAAAATATTTTTGTCCTGATTTACATGTATTTGTGTAGTGTACACAAAGGTGATCACACAATAGCTTAAAATTAAATCTTACTCTCGTATATTGTTGGGGAGTGGGGGGCAGGGGGATGTGTGGAAGCATGTGGGTATGTGTATGCATATGTGGGGTGTGGGTGGGTATGGGGTTTGTGGGGAATAGTGTGTGGGGGGAGGGTGGCTGGGGGTGTGAGGGTCTGTATGTATAGCAGTGTGAGGGGTGGGTGCATATATATCATGGGGTGTGCTTGTGGGACTCACCCTGTGAACACACACACACATACAAACACGCATACTGTGCCTCACTCACTCACTCACTCACTCAC